GTTGTAGAGGCCATCAAACCAGTTTCGGAGGAGAAGCCGGCCGTGCCCATCACTAACGCTTTGGACCCACCAGTGGCCGAAGCACCTGTTTTCAGCGAGAAGGAAAAGATAAGTACTGTGATTGCCCCCAAAGCCACTTCTGTCATAAGCAGAATGCCCCACAGCGTCGACCTGGAGGAGGCTCCGAGGATCACCTTGGTGAAGCAAGCCCCCCAAACCCAGACGTGTCTTGTTAATGCCCCGTCGCCTAAATTTAAGCAGAGGTCAAGCTCAAACGACAACAGTAGGTTTCATCCAGGATCGATGTCCATCATTGAGGATCGGCCTGTAGAGACTGGCTCCAGCCCCGGGCTGCGGGTGAACACGTCGGAAGGCGTTGTGCTGCTGAGTTACTCGGGACAGAAGACGGAAGGCCCGCAGCGAATTAGTGCTAAGATCAGTCAGATCCCCCCAGCCAGTGCCGTTGACATTGAATTCCAGCAGTCCGTGTCTAAGTCTCAGATCAAACAGGAACCTATCACACCGTCGCAGCCGACACCAAAAGGCTCTCAGACCTCCACGGGCTATGGGACTGTTTCCACCCATTCTCCTTTGGTACTGGGAACGCAGCCATACAATATGTCTCCCGTGATCTCCTCTGTCAAACAGGAGCGCGTTGCGTTGGAGAAGTCCGACTCGGCCCACCTGCCTGCCCAGCCTGCAGCCTCTCAGCCTGGCAAGGTTCTCACACAGACTGTCAACACTCCTCCCGTGCTTGTTGTGAACAAAAAACTGCCCGACCCGGCAGCTCTCAAAGTGGAGACCAAGACTCTGCAGCCCTCCAACCTGAGTCCTGGGGTCAGTCCTCACCACCCTTCCCTTTCTGGGAAGATGCATTCGGAAGCAAACCACGTCAGCTCGGGGCCCAGCACCCCAACCGACCGGGCTATTTCCCACCTGGCCGTCACCAAACAGGAGCCACACTCGCCGCGGACCAGCGGACACTCGCCGTCACCGTTCCCACGCACGTGTCATCCCGGCAGCACGTCATCCCCAGCTTTGTCGAGCAGCACGCCGGTCATGCTGGCACCAGGGATCCCCGTGCCTCAGTACATCTCCAGCATGCACCCCGAGCAGTCTGTCATCATGCCCCCGCACAGCGTCACACAGACTGTGTCCCTGGGCCACCTGTCCCAAGGGGAGGTGAGGATGAACACTCCTCCCCTCTCCGGAATTTCTTACAGCATCCGCCCCGAAGCGCTCCACTCCCCCAGAGCCGCTCTGCAACCTCAGATAGAAATGAAACCTCAGCGATCCAGCACGCCCCAACCGGCGCCGATACGAGATATCGTCATGCCCTCTCTGTCCTCTCAGCATCCCCCCGAGGAGGAGATGCACTACCACCACACCACAGTGTGCAGGGGGCCGGCCCCTGTGCAGCCAGATGTGCTGGTGATGCAGCCGGATTACCGCATGCACCCCAGCAGCATCAGGCTGGAGCAGTACAACGTGCCGCGGGACGTGCGGATGATCATGCATCCCCACATGGCTGCTGTGGGCGAGCACCACTCAGAAAGCAGGCAATCCCGGACGCCTGAAGGGGCCGGAAAAACGCCGCCTGTTAGCAAGACCCCGCAGCCTGGCAAAGAGACACCGAAATCCTCCGAAGGCAAGATGGCCCACTCTCCGCACAGCGAGCCCCGGCTGCTCAGCGTCCCTTCCAGCAGCCAGCTCCCTGGCTTGCCGCTGACGCAGCCGGTGGTGGTGCCTCACGGCGTGCAGATCATGCACCCCACGGGCAGCTCCTTCCACGACTACCGCTCGGTGTACGGCGACATGAGGAATTACCACACTGCAGCACAGCTTGGCCATCCGCAGTTCCCCGGCGCGTCGCCCATCGGGCTGCCTTCCCGGAGCATGACCCCATCTCAGGTGAGAAGTGAGGCTGTTCCTTCTGCCTGAAATCGTAAATGTTTTGAACTTGCAGCGGCCTCGCTGCAGTTCTTTTGTGATCAAGAGTTGAGCTCTGGGTTGTTCCAGCCCAATTTTAGTTGGTTTCCAAAATCATAGAGCTGTTTTTGTTTGGGCAGCGGAAGTTAAACACTGCTTATCATTAACAGACACTAGAGAAACTTTGTGTGTGGTGCAAAGCTTCCATTGGTTTCTAGAGGCAGAGGTGTTGGGGAGAATAGTCAACATCAAGATATTGAACGGGGCAGATGGGCTCCTGTGTTGGGTGGGTGTTGGAGCTGAGGGCAGCCTTGTGAATCTGGGCAGTGGAGCAGGGCCAGGGGAGCTGGTTGCTGCAGCAGCAGCATGGAGACACGTTCAAGTTATGCTGCCCCAGACTGATGGTGTCCCAGTGGTCTCATTGGTGCATTAGCAAGCTTGGATATAACTGTGGTCTAAAGTTTTTCCTTCTTCCCCCATTGCCTGCTTCCCAGGGTCTCCCAGAGGGTGAACACTCGCACCCCAGCCAGCCCGGACGCAGCAAGACTCCCCAGATCTCCCAGGATCCCAAGGGCCCACCGGCATCGGGACCTGAACAGAGTCACCACCCCACTGTAAATAGGCATGCAGCACAGATAGACCCTCACGTCCACCTTCAGAGGGCACAAGCAGACACGGGCCAGACCTCCTACCCTTCGCCTGTTGCCATTTCCATGAAACAGGAGCTTCCGTCACCGCACCAAGCTCAGGCAGTTCCCAAGCAATCACTGTTCATCCCAACAACGTCGGGCCCTGGGGCGCCGCCAGGGCTGCCCCTCAACCGCCCCGAGGCCCAGGCTGCTCTGAAACAGGAGCCATCTCCTCACCCTGTGTCACAGAGACCTGTGGATATGGTTCAGCTTCTCACGGTAAGCACCGTGCTGTTGTCTTTAGGCCAGGAGCCTTGTGCTGCTTGCTTCCTGCTGGGAGAAATACGATCAGGAGATAGGTTCTGCTTGTCTCCTCCCATGTGTAGCACCAGAATCTGACGTCTCCCATGGAAGTATTAGAAGCAAACTCAGTTCAAATGGGATTTCCATCACAATTAAGCCCCCTCTTTAGGAGAGAGAAGCGCTTCTCGCAAGTTCACTTCGTTCATCCATCTTAAGGTTTCTTTTCCCTCTCCCTACAGAAATACCCAATCGTGTGGCAGGGCCTCTTGGCTCTAAAAAACGACACGGCCGCCGTTCAGCTTCACTTTGTCTCTGGAAACAACGTGCTGGCACACCGCTCCCTGCCTGCCCCCGAGGGAGGGCCGCCCCTGCGCATCGCTCAGCGCATGCGGCTCGAGGCCTCGCAGCTGGAGGGCGTCGCACGCAGGATGATGGTATGGGCTGCAGCCTTCCTTCTCACCTCACTCAGTCTGCATTTCTGTAAGGTTCTGGGAGCTCCTTCGTTTGGCACGTCAGGAGGAGTGGGTTTTTTCAGTTGGGAGAGCAGAGAGTTGAAGTCAACCAGCAGCAGGCCTGTTCCAAGCAAACATTTGACTTAATTTTGGTTGATTTTCTTTCCAGGTGGAGAGCGATTACTGCCTGCTCCTGGCCTTGCCTTGTGGACGAGACCAGGAAGATGTTGTGAATCAGACTGAGTCACTGAAGGCTGCGTTCATCAGCTACCTGCAGGCTAAACAAGCAGCAGGAATCATCAACGTTCCCAACCCTGGCTCTAATCAGGTATGGGCAAGGAGAGCGGGGTAACTTTGCAGATGAAAGCTGTGTGTAGGACCTGCAGCCTCACTGCCCAGGTCTTCACTCAGGGTTGTAGTTGAGGTCCTTCATTTAATCGCTGAAACAACCCCCATTTACTGCTGCTGCTCAGAACAGAACCCCAAACTGTGGTTTTGTTCTTTACAGCCCTAGGCTGAAAAGAGAGCAAAGCCATTTTTCATCTCTTTTTCACCGTAGCTGATAACATTTGTCCCTCTGCTTTTCAAGACAAGAAGGGGGGGGGATTCTCACTCAATACATTGCTGTCTCACTGCATTCCCTCTCTCCCCAACAGCCTGCCTACGTTCTGCAGATCTTCCCACCCTGTGAGTTCTCAGAAAGCCACCTGTCCCGCCTGGCCCCCGACCTCCTCGCCAGCATCTCCAACATCTCTCCTCACCTGATGATCGTCATTGCGTCGGTATGAGCTGTTTACTGGTTACTGACTCTTTTTTTTTTTTTTTTTCCAAGGCCCCGCAGCAAAAAAAAAAA